GGGGAACTGGACAGGGAGGGTTTGAGCAGCGAAAGAGCCAGCAAGGAGGGAGGAGCACCTCGCGCCCGTGTCCGTGCGTCCCTGCACGTGTGTGTCTGTGTTTCGGATAAGCGGGCTGGATGCGGGTGTCCCCTGGGCTGGGATGTGCCCTGGTTGGGGCTGGCTCTGCTGCTCTGTCCCAGGCCAGAGCTCCTGTTGTGCCGCCTGTCTGGCCAGTGCTGGCCCTGGCGCTGGATGCCCCGTGGGCACGTGGCTGCCAGCAGCGCTTTTCTGCTCCTCATGGCGTGCGGCTGGTGGGGTGGAGGAGACCTGTGCCTTAGGGCCGGGAGCCCCCTGGCCCCTACCCCAGAGCAGGCAGGCAGTTGCCAGCACAGCCTGAGTTTGCAATAACTCGTCCAAATCCCCGCTCGCCATCCCCTTCTTGTCCTGAGCCTGGCCAGGGATGCCCGGCACAGCTGAGCTGTGACCAGGTCCTCTCTGAGCAGCAGCTCCTGTCCTGTCTGTGGGGGACACCTTAGAGAGGACGTGTGAGGATCAGGCATGAGGCTCCTCTATGGGGGCTCATCCAGGCAGACCCCATGGGAGCTTCTCGCAATGGCAGGAGACCCTGCAGGCCAGGAGCCCATGGAGGATGCTGAGAGACCACCCCGGAGGAAGAAGTGGGCCAGGGCGACACATGGGGAAAGGTGGGGGCAGGGGGCTACAGGTGGCTTAAAAGCCAGGGTGGGGAAGGGAAGGTCTGTGCATGGTCTTTGGTGAAGGATTGCAAAGGAAGGGCACAGCCAGGTGGGAGGTGGCAGTGCATCTATGGGACACCTGCGAGTGGCGTGTGGCCCTGTAAAGTGCTGCACCAGCTGGGGCGGGGGGGTTGGGAAGGGGCTGGTCATGGGCTGCTAGCCCTGTGGGTGCTGACACTGCTCTTCTCTCTCCACCACCCCACCATGCAGAGATCCCCCAGTGCGCCGGCTGCAACCAGCACATCCTGGACAAGTTCATCTTGAAGGTCCTGGACCGCCACTGGCACAGCTCCTGCCTCAAGTGTGCCGACTGCCAGGTGCAGCTGGCCGACCGCTGCTTCTCCCGCGCCGGCAGCGTCTACTGCAAGGAGGACTTCTTCAAGTGAGTGCCCGCGTCGCGGCCGCCCGCACAGCCCAAGCAAGGCTGTACCCGCGCTGACGGCGATGGGATCATGCTGCACCGGGCACCACGCTGCAGGGGTGCCAGACTGTTTTTTTTTTTTTTTTAGCACAATTTTAAGCACAATTTCCGCCAAATCTTCTTCTTATCTTTCTTTCTTTTTCTTTTTCTTTTTTTCTTTCTTTTTTTTTTTAAGCCCAAGTGTTTAAATAAAGGGAATTTTGCTGCTTTAGAGCTGCCACAGGCTGAATGCTATTTGCCAGGATTTAACCTTCTTAAAGACCCAAATCTCACTAATACTCCCTTCACTCCCCCTTCCCCCACTTCCCTATTTTACATTTTTAAGCCCAAATTGGACTAGTGGGTTGGCCCGCTAATCGCGCTGCGCCGCTCTGCTCGGAGCTAGAGGGCAGGAGAAACCTGCACAAAGACGGAGCTGGTGCTGCTGCTCCGAGCACCACTCCTCGCTTCTCCTGAGGCTGTGGCTCTCTCCGTGTTTCCCCCCCCTTTTTTTTTCCCTCCTGGTAGTGCCAGACCTTTAACTCAGTCTGCACTTGGGGCACTGGGAGCTTGTGGTAGGCACCAACCTGGGATGACTCTTTCCTGACGGAAAACAGACTTCCCCACAAGTGGCTTCTTTGGCTCTGCTAGCTGGGAAATGGCTCTTCCGGGGCGCTAATCATCCTGGCTCGGGGATGAGCCATGTGTGGGTGGCCTCTCCTGCTGGCGGGTGGGCATCGAGGCTGAGCCGGCCGCACCCCATGGCGCCCGGCTAAACGGTGATTATGGGGCCGCGCTAATCCCGGCAGGACTTTCCCTGTCTCCCAAGCCTGGCTTAGTGGCCACCCATCTCGGCTGCTTCCCTCACTGTCAGGGCTGGTGGCTGCTCCTGGGTCTCAGCCCACCTTGGCGGCCCTCCCATGAGAGCCAAAATCACCTCTAATTTCCCCATGAATCTCTGCTGCCCCTTGAGGCTGAGCTATAAACACAGATAAATAAATAAGAGCCGTTAATAAAGCTGAAAACTGGCCAGGTGAAGGTCAGCGGGGCTTCTGTAACCCCCTGTAGCCCAATGGGGCTGCGGCCTCGGCACCAACACTTCGCCCGCACTATTTTCCCAGACTATTAATCTCCGAGTCATTTAAATAGTTGCCCAAAAGGTGCAGGTGATCAATGTTAATTAGAGCTGAAGGATCAGTGACTTTCTTAGATTAGGTCCTGCCTAGATTATTTTGTGCCAATCAATAGCTCCGCGGCAGCCGCTCGCTCACACGCTTCACCTTGGTTTCAACTGCTCATTGATCCGAGGGCGGGTGGCTGCGCAGGGACACGCTCGCTCGTGGCGCCGCCTCAACGGGCCACCTTGTAGCCATGTGCTTGCCGGCCACCGGGGCTGCTGGCCCGCTGGGTGGGCTCCTTTCAGAGGCGGCGGCGCGTGGCATCGATTCGCTCCGCTCCGCGGGGCGCGCGTGTTCAGCGCCGGGGCCGCGTGCCGGGGGAAAGGCAGCACTCAGCGCGTGCTGCCAACACCACGGGGAGGTTTTTCATCACGTTTTTTCCTTCGCTTGTGGCACTGTTCTCCACTTGGCTTGTGCCCGCACTGCTGCGCTTGGCCCTGCAGCCTCGTATTGCGAGTCCTGGCATCCCGCAGTCCATGCCCAGGCGGGCAGGATTCACCATTCGTTTTCCCTGCACGGTGGGTTTGTCCCCTCGGAGGATTCTCACATGTGTTGGGAGTTGCCCGTGCTCAGGCCCACGGCTGCCTTGCCCCTGTCACCCCGGCCGGCCACAGCACCCTCCCCATGGGGCACTCATGGCCACCGCTTCTCCTTGCAGGCGTTTCGGGACAAAATGCACGGCCTGTCAGCAGGGCATCCCCCCCACGCAGGTGGTGCGCAAGGCCCAGGACTTCGTCTACCACCTGCACTGCTTCGCCTGCATCATCTGCAGCCGGCAGCTGGCCACGGGCGATGAGTTCTACCTCATGGAGGATGGGCGGCTGGTGTGCAAGGAGGACTATGAGACGGCCAAGCAGAATGGTAGGCAGCGGCAACCATTTCAGCGCGTGTCACGGCGCTGGGTTTGGTGCGAGCCGGTGGCTCTCTTGCAGATGACTCAGAGGCGGGCGCTAAGCGGCCCCGAACCACCATCACAGCCAAGCAGCTGGAGACGCTGAAGAACGCCTACAAGAACTCACCCAAGCCCGCCCGGCACGTGCGGGAGCAGCTCTCCTCTGAGACGGGGCTCGACATGAGGGTGGTGCAGGTAAGGCCGAGGAGGCCCATGGCCTCTCCTCTGGCTGCTGAGCCGAGTGGTGGCCGGGCCATGGCATATGCTGCGGGCAGTGCTGGGGCTGCCTCCATCTGTGCTTGTGAGGAACAGGCCTATCTTTGGGCCCCACTGGGCACCCATTGTGAAGCTCCTGTAAGGTGGGAGCAGGTTCAGCCCATAGTGAAGGGCCCCGTGTGCCAGGCATGGAGGGTCTGGGTGCTGGGGTCTGGGGGTAACAAGGTGCTGGGCTGCAGGCGGTTGTGGCATAGAGGTGCCAGGGGTGCTGGGATACCAGGGTGCTGGATATAGAGGGTTATCAGGATGCTGGAGTGTTGGGTGCTAGGATATAGTGGTAGCAGGGTGCTGGGGATGGGGATGCCAAGGTGCTATGGTCCTGTGCTGCCAGAGATGCTGGAGAGCTGGTATTCTGGGGGATTTGGGATGCTGGAATGACACAGCACTGGAATGCTGGCTTGTTGAGGGCCAGTGTTAGGCTGCTTGGGATGATGGGGTACTGGGTGGGGGTGGTAGGGTACCAGGATGAAGGGGACGCTGGGGCCTTGGGGTGCTGGGTACGCTGGGCTGTCAGGGTGCTGGGGTCCCAGGGTGTTGGGATGCTGGGTACTGTGGTGCCAGGATGCAGCAGTGCTGGGGTGCCAGGGCACTGTGGGGTGGTGACAGTGCTGGTGGCGGTGACGGTGGGGCGCTGGGTCCCAGGTTTGGTTCCAGAACCGCCGGGCCAAGGAGAAGCGTCTGAAGAAAGACGCGGGGCGGCACCGCTGGGGCCAGTTCTACAAGAGCGTCAAGCGGAGCCGCGGTGGCAGCGGCAAGCTGGAGAAGGAGAGCTCGGCTGAGGACTGCGGCGTCAGTGACAGCGAGCTCAGCTTCCGCGGTGAGCGGGGCGGCTGGGTGGCGGGCGGTGGGGGCCGGGGGCCCGCGGGTTGCTCACCGCCATCCCTCCCTGCTCCCGGCAGA